GGGATTTAGCGACGAGGAGCTGGCTGCGCGGTTTGGGATCGCTGGAGGACTGCCCAGCCTGGTGCTCTGCAAGAATGAGTCGACCGATGGCTTGAGACGCCGAGTGATGGATGCTGCCGCAAGCGCTGTGGGTGATCCGGACTGGGAGATGGCCCCCGTGAGCGCCGAGGACGGCATTCTTGTGCACTACAAGCTCCCACGGTGGAGCTTTGGGCGCTTGAAGCTTCCCTGCGAGAACTTCCAGCTCGTCCTTGGATCGGTGTTCATACAGAGCCTGGCGTTTGAGAAGCTGCGGCGACGACGGAGAGTGGAGAGCTACCTTGGACACTTCTTTAATTGCAGAGGAACGCTCTTCGACGGACTGGCGTCGCAGATTTTCGAGAAGTTCGCGCTCAAGGTTCTCTCCCGGGGTGGAACTTTCCAGTGCAAGTCTCTCGAGACCATCGAAGGTTTGGAAGAGAAGCTTGTCTTGCTGAGAAGCGATGGTGGTTTTGTGACGAAGAGTGTCGAGCTGTTCTTCCCCTGGACGTATCATCTCAAGGTTCGTTATTTCTTTTCTTTTTATTTTGTTCTTGATAAAAGTTCTTTTTTTGTGATAGCTTCCGGATTCGATCTTCGTGTTTACTGTGAGCTCCAAGCGTCCAGTACATCACATCGCTGTTGATCAGGCGATCGAGGAGTTTGATCGGTGGCACGGCGAGCGGGGCCTGGCGGCGCCGCGGTGTTACAAGCTCGTCTTCGTCATACCAGATTTGGGGGACGAGCTCATCTTCCAGGACCGGCAGAAATACGTCGAGGAAGATTTCACTACTTGTTCCACCCCATTGGATCGTGATGTCAAGCAGTGCGTCGTGAAAATTCTCTTGTCCAAAAGAAAAAGAAAGAGAAATTATGTAACTCCAAATTTGCTTTAATCCTTATGCAATGGAGTTGGTACTTAAGAGAATTCCTGCAAAGGACGAGACCCTTGTTGACATGTTTCATGGGGGCTAATGCTTGATGTTTGTATAAGCCATGGAAATTTTCGTAGCGCTCGAGAGCTTTTGATTCTATGCCTAGGAAATATGCCCTGTTTTGGCATCTGCGCAAGACTAAGATTACTTTTGAGTTTTTGAGTGAAAACGGAGATTCTGCTAAGTTCAATGCAATTATGAAAGCATACACAAATAGATGGCATGGCGAGGTCGTGGAGTTATTTTTCTGCGGGTTTTTTCGTACACAGGTGTCTTGGAACACCATGTCTGCAGCATATGCCCAAACTGGGCATGAATTTGGGGGATCAGAATCCAAATATCTCAAAAGAATCAGTACAATATTCTGAATAGTGATGCTAGCAGTTCCTGGAGGGAGAACGCTCCTCAGTAACGCCTGCGTCTGCAAAGCGGCCCTGCGGCTCTTTCCACGATCAGTGTGCTCATTGGGCGCGTGGATAGTCTTTATAACAAAGCTTGTTCCGGTGATTCATCCCTCTTTCCTCACGTTAGCCGACCTGGGAAGCTATACGCGATCTTTTAGCTTGCGTTGAAGGACATGCAGCAAAATGGTGGTCCAGACTTCTGCTCGGTGGCCATCCATAAATGCAAAGACGGCGGTGGTATTGATTGGATGAAGCTCGGCTCCGAGGCCCCCGAGTTCATGGGCTCAGCACCATTAAGTCTTGTCTTAGTTGAAAATATGAGTACTGAGACAGACAAAAACATTGAAACCATGTTCAGGATTTTGCGGACTGACAAGCGTGTGCGGTTCGAGGCTCTCGTTTTCTTTGCGCAAACAATCGAGAACATCTTCGCGTTGTCTTTCCTTGTGAAAGATGGGAGGGTGGAAATCAGCTGTGAGGATGGTGTCATCCGCATAGGTACCACATGTCTCAGTAGATTTTTGCTGAATGATCTTCTCTCTGCAATTCCCAAGACCGCACCCAGTAAGAATGACCGCACTAGCGGTAACGTTGCAGTTTACACTGCGATTGGATTATCAGGAGTGGGTGGTAAGACAGCTTTCATTCCTACCTCTGACGTTTTTCCTTTCCAGTCTATACAACAATCACCAGGACCTAGCCGGAGCAAGTAGCGTCTTTGGAGCCGCTGCTGTGACGCCGATCCGGAAGGCATCCCGGAACAGAGCCAGGGGATAGTCCCAGGCAGCCAATCTCAAGTTGACGAGGAGAAAGTGGACCCGAAACGCCGCCTCCACTGATCAAGGTTAAGACTTTAAGATGGCGTAATATTTATTATACCCTTTTCAACAACTCGTTGTTGATCTAAACCCAATAGTGGGCTTACCATTTTTATAATGGTATGATACTATTTGTTGTTGCATAGTATAGCTCCCCAATACTTGAAATTGCTGATCTTGTGTGGTTTTCAGTAATCTATAACATGCAAGTCTTTTATCTGCACGGACCAAGAATTTGATGTTGGTGATAATGTCATAATTGCGGAGTCCTCAAACTCCAGCAAAGTAATGGGTACTTCCACTTGTGCCCAATGATAAAAGTTCTCTTGTTGCAAATCATAGCATAGTTGGTTGTTTTGTAAATCTTCATCGTTGTTGGAAATCGAATAATTTGTTGGCGCTTTGTAGATTGGCCAAGAAATTTTTGCAATAAACATGTCCTTGGCATCTCGATAACAATCCCCACCCAATCTGGAAAAAGAGCTCCCTGTATCAAATATAGTATCTATGTTGCACTCTACTTTATGGCCTTCTATGAATATATTCACCATTCTAACGCCCCAATGATTTCCCCGGATAAATCTAGTGATTGGAAGCGTTTGAAATGAAGGATCAGGTAACATTGATCTATATCGCATGGTTCCGTTCAAAGAATTAGTTGTCCTGTTATATATACTACAGATTTCCATCGCTTTAATATAGCTCATCTGAGTTATCTGAGTAAAGAATGATGATCTGTGTAATCCATGAGATAAAACACCTTCTATAACACGTAATCTCCCCCATGGAGTTGCTTTCAGAAGATAACCTTTCGGCAGTAACAAATTTCTATCACCGTCCCCAATCCTTATGTCCCATCCTTGAGCCATGGAACCAATTATCCCTGTATTGCCAGCTCCATAAGTCACATTAATCTTGCAAATCCTATCCTTGTCTAAATACCTGTATTCCTCCCAATCAGCTGCAAAATCGTCACACTGTTCTTCTGAGAATGATGTAGAGAGTAATGCTTTCTCTAGCATCTCGGATTTGCCCCATGTGAATCTACTTCCCGTATCCGCTACTACTAAGAGCTTCGTAGTATCACCTTTCTAACTGCTGAATGTTATGAAGAGTTGGGGTACGCTCTCAAGAGTAAAGTCGAGGTTGATAGCAAATGCAGAAAGCAACATAGATGCAAGCAGGGCTGCAAGACAAGGTTTCAGATCAGTTGAAATGAAGCATCTAGAAAATACCCAGACTTACTGGACTTGTAGGCATGCTGTAAGAAACCCATCGTGTGCCTAACAGTATAGGTTCAAGAGCTAACAAAAAATATGAATTGATAAAGTCATAAGAGCTTACCAAAGAAACAGTAATTCAGGATGTAGAGGTGGATGGTTCCAAACACTTCGATGGAGCTTTCTTCAGTAGGGCTGTGGTTTGCTACAAGTGACTGGAAATGTAGCTGCTCCAAGAGACTGGAAATGTGGAGCTGCTACAAGTGACTAAAAATGTAGAGCTGCTACAAGCGACTAGAAATGTAGAGCTGCTACAAGCGACTAAAAATGTAGAGCTGCTACAAGCGACTGGAAATGTGGAGCTCTGATTTGCAACAAGCAACTAGAATTATATCCTCCTTAAGAAACCATCTCCGCTTGGCAGACAAAGTGATGGTTGAGAACACACAATCTGTATGATTGTACGGCATTAACAGCTACCTCTAAAAAAGAGTCGCTAAACCACCTTCAGTGTATCATCTGGACAATGCCCAAGATGCCACGGCCTGGCAGTCTTGTTTTCTCCTCCCGTTGGTGGGTGAGTGAGGGTTTTTCAACTTGGAGTCCTTGGCTAGCCTTGCACATCCCCCAAACTTAAACATCACTTCACTTAGTTAGCTTAGGTTGTAAGGGATAAGATCCTAATATTGGTATTGTAAGGATTCTATCCTTTACACTTTAAGTCAATTGGCTAAAGGGGAATTGTAGGGCTTTTTCTTTATTCTATTATTTTGACCTAATGCATAACAATCTTCCCTTCATCCAGGAATGATAGTCCATCATCGCACTTGGAGTCTTTGTCCAGCCTCACACATCCCCCAAGTTTAAACATCATCTCACTCAATTGGTTTAGGGTGTAAAGGATAAGATCCTAACATTGGTATTGGAGAATAAAAAAAAAGGCTCTGCAATCTAATGTTAAAATCCTATCAATTGGCTAAAAGAGTGATCAAAGCCCTTTTTTTATTCTATTATCCTAACCTGATGCATAATAATCTTTCCTTTGTCAGAGAATGATTATCCACAATCATATTTAAGCCACCCTCTAATCACTATAAGCCTTCTATTAAGGTTTACCAAATTTTGGTTCTCCCTTTAGATTCATTATATTGAATATTTCTTTAAAATATTCTTGCCTCATTTGTCAACCACGAGAATCAAATTGAAGATCCTATCCCTTGCACCCTAAGTTAATTAATTAAAGGGGTGATCATTTGATTGTAGGGCTTTTTCTTTATGTTATTATCCTAGCTTGGTGGACCATTGATTCATTAAGAGTGTTCTTTAAGACCACTAGAGAAAAACTGAAATTCATTATCAATGAATTTCAAATGAAATATTTGTGAGAAACTCACTTATAATTAATTTTAAATTTATAACCTAGACTGTCACTCAATTACAAGCGTTAGAATTGTTGCTAGGATAGTGCTGATCTCAGCTGGAGCTGGATTGGCTGCTAGAGCTGGATCACTGCGTTCTCATGGCTGCACTGTTGCATTGCTGGATGGAGCTGGATCGCTGCTTGCTTGTGGCTGCACCGCTGACTTGCTACGCTGCTTGCTCGAGCTAGATCACTACACCGCTGCATTGCTGGATGGGCTGCTCACTGAATGTGTCCCTGGAAATTAGTGAGCTACTCTACGCGTACTCCATGTCAAATGCCAAAGCACCTAGCGAAATGAATTTGCAGCATTGGTATTGTTGTTGTTTCCTCTCGCTGGACGAGCCTCCAAAGTAGATTATTCTATGATTTTAAAGGAGTGCCTGTTGTCGATCAAGTTGGTTTCACTAGTTGCTGCACATACGCCTGGACACCACTTCAAAGATTTAGAACTCACTGACAATTATTTTTTCTATAGAAAACACACCTTTCTCGTTAGCCAGCACTTGTTAGCTGCTTCTCGGTTTTGCGTGAGCCTCCTCAGCGGCTGCAAAACAGAACACTGTTCCAGCATGCTTAGAAAGCTCTACCTTGGAATCTGCTGTCATGAACAGTGGAAACTATAGCTGATTTTCAGGCTTTGAAACAAAAGTAAAAAATTAGCACACTTCCAAGAGAAAGAAAAAAATTCCTTGCAAAGAAACTCAAGGAGGATTGGATACCTTTGGAGAAGGCTCAACGTCTATGGAGTCGTCTGTAGGTGGACTAGTGTCAGCCATGCCCCAGTTTGTGTTAGCGTGGATGCAAGCTCCAAGTTCCTATCGGATGCAACCTTTTGATGCGCGTAGTAAATATCAGTTTTGTAATTGGCTGTGGATCAGACAAACCAAGCAAAGCAAGCGTGGCGAAAAGATGGAGAAGAAAAAGAGATCCAAGAGCACAAAATGTACCTCTGCCGCTGCCTATCACTCACGGTTCTGGAGAATCAAGAGAAGCAAGATCAACACAGAATCGCAGAGAACACTCGCAAGTAAAACAGAAACTTACACTGGGATGTTTACGCGGAAGTGTACGAATTGATCACCATTAGCGTGTCGTTGCATGACTTTGATACCTGTGGAAGACAGAGGATTGAAACTAAACTCTCAAATCGTCACAAGTATCAGACCAGGTTGAGTACTAGGCTTGACCTCGCAAAACCACATGTCCTTGAAAAGTATAGCCTACCTTTAACACGCATGATCGTTGGCATTTCAATGGTTCCACCCAGAACAGCCTTGAAAAAATTTCAAGTTATTCCATCAAAGAATGAGCAAGAAAAACAGAGAAGTGAGACATCGCAATCGACAGCATGCAACCCTCCATTTTACTACACAGGGAGCACACTCAAGGATCTCAGCCAAGAAAACGAAAAAGAAAGAAAAGTTCTACTACATTTCTTGTAGATATGAGAATGGAAGACCAGAGCTGCGGCATACATAAGAAACCCCCTCCAATCCACGCGATTGCTCCAATCTGCTGCTAGAATGCAATAAAGATTTTTACCGATTAGCAATCCCTCGATCCACTAGTTTGATGATATATAGTTTTACTTTGTAAATTAGGGTTATAAGTTTATAACATTGCCATATATCATAAATATTCCACTCCATGTCAGAGGCTAGGATAATTATAGAATCTTCTCGTATTTGGAGATTTGCTGGGATGAACAATTCCCAAGTGCTTGACTAAGATGTTGGCCAGGATCTCACATGAGCATAGTTCATCTGAATAAGGCTTTTTTCTCATCTGTGTGTGCATATGAAAACTTTGAAACACTTCAATAAGGAGAGAAAATGAAACACCAATGCTTCATGAGAATAGTTCACCTAAATAAGGCTCTATAAGCTAAGCTTCTAGCTTCTATAAGCTCCTAGAAAAGTTCTAATGCAATGAGACTAGATTTAACACAGAGACTGGAAAGACCTAGGCAAGAACAGCATTGTTGACATTGAAAAAATTGGAAAGATCATAGTCACTTTGTCAGTCTAGAGCTTGCTCTTTTCCGAAAAGCAACAAAAGGAAGAGCAACAAAAGGACAATTCTTTGGGATGCTAAAGTAGTTTGTGTCAAATGACACAATGTTCTCAAATCTCTCAAAGGGGAGCTACCATACGAAGCCAAGGAAATTTGGTTAAAATTCACTTCTTAGATTACGTCTGAATAAACTTAGATTAGGACCATTGTAAAAAAACTTAATATTTAATATAAGTTTAATTTAGATTGCAAACAGTGGAAAAGAAAAATTTCATACATTTTCAACCATTTTATGCTCCTGAAACCATTTTATAAATGAATTCATACCTTTCTCAAATGAAATGTAAGATTTAAGAAGCAATAGATTTGTAGGAGGCTCATATGCAATCTCATAAGGGCCTGGATTCTCATCCTCAATTTCAACAATCCAAGCTTTAAGATTTGTAAGCGTTTCTACAACCTTAATCACTCCTTTAAATGGAATAGGTGGCCATGGTGTCCCAATATCATATAAATTCACTTGTCCCATGCTGTGACTTGATAGAATACTATTGATCATCACAGTTACTGCATCATCAATGTATATATAGTTTTGTCGCCCTTTCCTTTGCTCCCATAATGGAACATCAGTCTTATGCAATATCTGATCAACAAACTTGTAATAGGGAAAATCTGGACGACCATAGCTCCCATAAACTGTACTAAACCTCCATTCCACAACTGGAAATGGTAGCTTTGGTGCCAAAGATTCAACTAACTTCTCCGCAGAACGGCTTGAAGGGATGTAAAAGCGATTGGGGCTTGCAAAAAAGAAACATTGCATGGATGGAACACTGCATGCCGCATCAAGCAGTGACTTCATAGTTCTCTCATTGTCCTCCAAATTCCAACTATGCTCTTGCTGTGTAAAATCCACCACAATGTTTGGCTTCTTACTCCTTATCACGGCCATGGCCAACTCTGGATCTGTAGCACTTCCATAAACCACTTCAATACCCTTACTCTCAAGAAGAAGGGTCCTCTCTGAACGCTCCACATCCAAGCCCGTCACCAGAAATCGTAGATTGGGATGCTTGTGTGCCTCCAATCCCAAAGCAAGCTGGCTACCAAGAAACCCACTTGCACCCACAATCAAAACCCGATATTCTTTTTGCTTTCTCATCTGGAAGATCAGCCAACCAAGTAAAACAAGGACAAAGACACAAAGCAACACTGTGTTGGGAGACATAATTTTAAACCCTAATGAAACAAAAGGACTAAATAGTTACTAAAATGGACAAACTTGGAGAGGAATAGAAAACCTAAAAGACCTTCATTTTTACTGATTTTGTGCGACTAGAATGCTGGACTTCGATCTTTTCTGATTTCTTTTCCACATATTATTTATGATTGATGGAGGCCAGATCAATGGAAGAAAGCTGGTGGATCCGGACAGCACAAAGGTTTAGTGTAGCGGGTTCTATGAAACGTGGCTAGCTAATCGATGAGGACCAGACTTGAAGCTCTTCGTAGCCACACTGAGCTCCCGCAAAAGGCCGGCACCGGGTTTTATACGACATAACTTACATTGAAGCTGCATTTCCCAGGAAGCTTTCCAAGCTATCATGGTGTAGTGTAAAATTCTTTAATTTCACAGATGTGATAACTTGGTAGTCTGCTAAAACAAAAATAGAATGCGCTGTTTGATGCCATACCATGGACAGATTTTTCTTTGTTATGCCCTAACTCCGGTCTTCATGGGTCCTTGGAAATAGTTGTTGTTGTGTTGGTTTTACAGTTCTCCGATTGATTCTGGCTGTCACAAAACCGTTGGTGACATGCAATGGGGGATTTACCGCTTCTTGCGATCATAACTCCACAATTGAAATCAAAGTGTTTAAACCAATTTCGAAAGCTATTAGGGCTTAGGAGCAGAACGATGGCCACGAGAATCCGTGGCAACGGCAATGCGCGGATTGGAAGCGGCGATGCCAGCGATAGCGATCAATCGTCTTTCTCGCCCGGCAGCGGTCTACCCACACACCCCAAGGCAGCCAGGTATCAAGTTCATCAGGACGAGCCTCTATTGCCTGGCTGTGGTTGCGCTGCTCATAGCCATGCTTTCGATCACACTCCAGGAGAGGGGAGAAGAAGAGAAGCCGTTTAGAGTGCTCGTAATTGGGGCGAGCGGTTTCTTGGGCTACAAATTGTCCCTCGGCTTGTTGGCCAACACTCGCCAAAGATAGAGGTGGTGGGAATCGATGCCGAGCGCAACGAGCGAGCACAGCTGCTGGAGAGGGCTGGAATGCACATCCTGTCTAAGTGGGCTCTCGCCACCAGCGGTGTGAAGCTCGCACGGCCCCATGCTATCGTGGACTTCACTCAGCAGGAGCATCCTTGGTGCCTTCCACTCAACCAGCTTACTCTCGGGACCATTCTTGACGCCGCAACTGCGGATAGGTCTGTGAGGTCAGTGTTCTTCGCTAGCCCGAACCGGTTCTACATTCCTTCTTCTCGATCCGGTGAGGTACTTGCTGCAGCCAAGTCTGTCCTGTTACCGTTTTCTGTGGTGGAGTGGCGATTTAGTACAGTCTACGGAGAGTTTGGACGAACCGATTACCCGTATTACAAATTCGTGGAGGATATCACCAGTGGCCAAGACGTCCAGCTGTGGCAGCAACGCAAAGGAAGGCAGAACTACATTTACATCGACGATGCAGTGGCGGTTATGATCAAGATGATTCTCGACTTCACACATGTCGTTGGTGCTGTTACCGTCGTGGACATCGGCACTCCAACGCCAGCTTTATCGTTCAAGGACGTAATTCGAGTGGTGACCAAAATCTCGGGGAAGAAGCAAAACTCGTCGAGGTTGAGGATGCAAATCCACCGCCGTGGGAGGTAGAGTATGTACCTCCTTCACACCTCTACGCACTTGGAAAGTTCACTTCTTTCCAGTCTGGAATGGCGCGTTTCATCGACTGGTACGAGCAGAAGAAGAGTATGTAAGTGTCTCTTGCTTGTCCATTCACTAACGTAATCCAGTACATTCTTGTCTGTGACAGGATCGCTAGGAACGAAGTCAATGACCATACGTAGCTGATGACTAAACAAGTAAGTTTTGTTCTTGAGCATCTCCTGCCATTGCAGGAATAGAATCGAGCCTGAAGGCTTACTTGCCCCTTTGACAAGCTCTTCGTCGTCTGTGTAGTTCGTGAGCATGATGTCTGTGAAGTCTTCCAGTTGGCTTGCAAACTCGTGGCTTTGTGCTCATCAACTATTGCTTGGAAGATATTGTCCTTCTTTGCGGCCAGCCTTGACTGTCCAGTCGATTGTTGTTGATAGTTGTTTTGTCGTGGAGGTGGTCTTCACGATCAGCCTCTGATCAGCCTCCGGCAAGAAGTCTGCCATGTGGAAGAGAGCAACGTCAACGATGCCGGCAACGATCTCTTTGAACTCTCGCAATCGCCAGTCCTGAGAAACACCAAGATATGTGTGATGATGTTGAAGATGTAGATCGATACGAGCTTCCTCATGTCCACGACGAGCTCTCGCGGGCCTGCACCGAGGAACGCGAGAGAAGCCTGGGTCTTCAAGAAGTGAGTATATAAGCGCAGTCGTGAATCAAGTTTTGATTTTTATTGTCTTTCTCGTTTCAAGTTGAAGTGGTAACTTTTTATTTCATGTAGATGGCACATATGAAGGCTCGCAAAGTCACAGGCGACTAGTATGCATCTTTGGAGAGTTTTGGAGTAGCAACAGCCTTGAGCAGTGGGGTCTCTGGCCAGAGAAGAGAGCAAAAGCCTTCATCGATCGTGAGATCCTTGACAGCTCTCGGGATTTCTGCGCTCCAGTCGAACGCATGGATCAAGCTCGAGACCGCGAACTGAGCCGTCTTGAGACCCATCGTCATGGCCGGGCACGACCTCCGCCCAGATCCAAATGGAAGAAGCTCGAAATCCTGGCCCCGGACGTCCACGGCCGTCCCGGCGAATCTCTCCGGGAGAAACTCGAGTGGATTCTCCCAGTAGCTTGGGTCCATCCCGATTGCGTAAGCGTTGACAAAGAGGGTGGTGCCTTTGGGTACGTCATAGCCACCAACTTTGCATGCCTGTGTGGACATGTGAGGGACGAGCAGCGGGGCTGGAGGGTGTCGCCGGAGCGTCTCCTTGACGATGCATTGGAGGTATGGGAGCTTCTCCAGATCGGATTCCTCCACTCGTCGGTGCAAACCCACGACTGCCTCGAGTTCTTGCTGGGCCTTCTCCAATATTCTTGGGTGGCGGATCGTCTCCGTGACAGCCCACTCGATCGTCGCGGAGGTGGTGTGGGTGCCACCATTGAGCATCTCCTGCGATTGCGAGAATGGAATCGATTCGTCCAGTAGAGAGAGAAGAGGGGACTTCCATGGCTTACTTGCACCATTGCTTTGACAAGCTCTTCGTCGTCTGCGTAGTTCGTGAGCATGATGTGTGTGAAGTCTTCCACCGCGTTGGCCTGCAAACGCGCGGCTTTGTGCTCGTCAACTATTCTCTGGAAGAACTTGTCCATCTTCGCGGCCAGCCTCTTGAGCTGTGGGACTGTCCAGTCGATCCATCGCAGTCTCTTGGGCACAAAGTCCGCGATGTGGAACTGCAGAGTGACGTCAACGATGCCGACAACTATCTCTTTAAACTCTCTCGACTCTTTGCAATCGCCGGTCCCGAGAAACCTCTTGCTCATCAGGATCTGTGTGATGATGTTGAAGATGAAGATGGAGACGAGCTTCCTCACGTCCACGACGCCGTTGTCCGAGCTCTCGCGAGCCACTGCGGACAACAAAAGCGAGACCTCGGCGGCCCTCACGCTCGCAAACGAAGCCATGCGCTTGCTTGTGAAGAGCTGGAGCGTGCACAGCTTCCTCATGTTCCTCCAGTGCTCGCCGTATGGGGCGATCCCCACGATCCGGAAGTTGTAGCCCAGATGCTCTCCAGCAACCATGTAGGGCCTGGAAGCAAACGCCACGTCTTGCGTGTGGAGAACCTCCCTCGCCATCTCCGCGCTCGACACGACGATCGCACGGGTCCATCCCAGCCTCAAGAAGAGGATCGGTCCCAGCTTGTTGGAGAGCCTCTGGAGAGTGATGTGGGCGTCCTTCCCAGCGAGATGAGCCAAGTGTCCGATGAGCGGAATCCCCAATGGAGACGGGGGCAGCCGAAGCTTTGGGCGAACGCTCAACTTCCAGAGAAAGATCGCGATGGCAATGGCGATGGTACTCAAGACGTAAACCCCCATTTGCGCGGGAGGGAGCTCTAGGATTCGAGAGGCTGGCTCTGGCCTTTCGAGCGGAGCTGTGGGGTATAAGTGATGCATGGAACCCAAGCAACGTCATCCCTTGCCGGCACAGAAGTTATCAACTTGAAACACTCCTCATGAACGTTCAAATTGGAATTTTTTGACATTCCAAAACTGTAGGATATCCTTACAAAAATTGTGGCGAAGTTTCAACTTCACCTGAGAAGAATCGCCAATAGATGCCGGCGGCCTCCACGAGACAGAGCCAAGAAGGTGGCGCCCAACGATGGCCACTCCCATCATCACCAGCTCTGCGAGGGCCAGTAAGATTGGAACTGCCGTCTGGAAGATTGTGCGTCCACCATGCCCAGAAGCCTGGCCGCTGGAGAGAGAAAAAATGCTGTCTGCCAAGAACAAAAAACAAGAGACAACCTTTAGCTAGCTGTCTGCCAAGAACAAAAAACAAGAGACAAGAGCGATGAGGGCGGCCTGATGTTTCACTTGAGTGATCAATTAGACCACGACTGCCAGAGCAAGCAACCCCGCTTGGAACACCAAAGCAGTCAATCCCGCCTACAATGCACGAAAGATTCAAACAAGCGTTTTGCAAAATCAATGGAGAGCTTACTTTCAAGAGCACCCCGAGTTTCTCGACGTCCTGCTGAGCGAAGAGAGAGGGCCGAGGGAATCGTAAAGCTTACCTTGCCGCATCAGAAAAGGACAGCGTCTTCCATGAGCCAGAGCCTTTAGATCTCTCCAAAATGAAATTGCACATTGGAACCAACGAGAAACTTGGCCAAGTGATAGAGCTGGACCGACTCGTTGGTGGCATTCCATCGAAAAGTCCACTCAAACATGTAAATCAATAGGAAGAACAAGAGAACTCATACATACAATTTGTTTTAAAGCCTACTTAAAAGGTAAGACAAGTAAAAAAACAAGTTTGTTTCCTTGGTTTATTCAAGAAGTTCTTGAGCATTCACAAAAGTTTCCTTGAGCAGCAGCGAGAAAAGAGCAAAGGACGAGACCTTTGTCGTGGATCTCTTAAGCACGGCAGTGTGGAGGGCGCCCGTGCCGCCTTCAATTCGATCGTCTATTCTCGTGGAATCTGCTGCTGGGGGCGTATCCCGCAACGGCATTCTACCATACAATTAGGCAATCTTGAATTGGCGTGAAATCTATTCGATTGCGTCCTGGACAGGAATGTGATTTCCTGGACACCGATATGATCTATAAGACTATATACAACTCTTTAAGCTGTATGTACAAAGGAGCAATCCTTTGCTCCCTTCTCTGGTGAAGTGACCTTTGGTTTTTTTCTTTTGGAAAATACGCAAGTCAAACTCATAAATAGTATGGAAATGCATCAGCCCAAGCGATGCTAGAAAGTCCTTGACTCAATCTTGTCCAGAGATGTAGTGTCGTGGAATGCGATGATCGCAGGATATACATCACAAAGATGCTAGATCATTTGCTTATTTGGATTTGTATGCCACCTCATGACTATAAATTAAAGATTGTTTTAGTATCTATAATAATAAGAATGAAGGGCCCAAACCCCTGCAGCTGTCCGATCCTGGACCTAGGGCAGCCTCAGAAGCCATGGTTCTTGGGAAAGGGAGGCCACCCTAGGCCCAGGCCACGGCCAGTGGCCATAGTTAGCGGAATATTGGCTCAATGTTGTGGTGGCCAATGGGTGGGATGCATGTGTGGCCAGGGAGGGAAGAGGGTGTGGTGACAAGTGTTACACCATGCACTCCTAGGGCTCCATAGTTGCTCTCCTTGGATGTAGTTGTGTGGGCATTCCCATGAGAGTCTGTGTGTCTGTAAGCTCCTAGAGGAGGTGCTCACGGGGATAACAGGGGTGAGTAGAATGGTAGTTGTGCACACAATCCAAGCTCCTTTCGGGATAAACTCGCTTGCATGTGGTGCATGAGCAGCACCACAGGCAGGGCTGGTGAGGGAGTGCACCAGAAATGAAGAGTGCTCAAATCCTGGAGCTGACTGGCACCATGGCAGTGGGTGTGGGTGATGCAAGGTCTGTGAGTGACCTGTGTGTGTGATCTGAAGGCATCAAAGGAGTTCTTTGAGCTGTCAAAGTAAGGGAAGCTAAAGAAGCTGAAGTATGCTGCTAGTGATCCTCCAGCATCTGCTTGAAGAGCCTGAGAGCCGAGGCTACGTCTCCCTGGTGGCAGTAGCCAGCGATGATCACGTTCCAAGTCACAGCATTGCATCCCACGCTGGCTGCCAAGTCAAAAACTTCAAGAGCTTCTGCCATGCAGCCGCACTGTCTGTAGAAGCCCAGCAGAGAATTCATGACGACCACCTTGACTTCCATCTCAGCATGATGGATCTGCTGGTGGATGGCCCTTCCGGTCTCCAGAGCTGTGGAGCTCCTGCAGGCCCGGAGCGTAGCAGTGTAAGTTGGAGCATCGGGTACCATGACTTGGACTTGCTGTATCCACGAGAAGAGATCTAATGCAGCTAGTGCTTGCTCCGCCTGGACGTATCTGAGCATCAGCATTGTCCACGAGACAACTTTGTGCCTCTCCATCCGGTTGAAGACTCTCCACGAGTCCACCTCTTTGTAAACCACCTAGCATTTACTGGGCAAGTACTCATACTCTCAATAAGATCAGAAAAAGTAAGAATACTATTTTTAGTATGATTTATATATTCCACCCACTATCCCTATTATACATTTGGAACCCAACTATAATACTGAAGAGAATGATAAAAATAAGAAATGTGAGGGCCAAGTGTATGCTGCATATTAATATTAGCGTAGTGGGATTTTGGTAGCCGTTAGATTGATTTTAATCCGGACCACTCACTCCTGTATATAAATTAGGGTTTTTGGGCTATTGATATACATATTTTCTATATTCCCTTTCCATATTCCAAACACTCACATTGGTAGAGTTGAAAGGCACCTTTGATTGTCCTTGAAAGGTGCTTGGATTTGGGATTTTAGTTTAGATTTAACTTTTGCATCATCTAAATCTAACTTTTTTATATCCTTCCTTTTGTTCTTTCCTTTCAAAATTTTGGTTTAGATTTAGTTTTTTGCATTGTCTAGATCTACCATTTCCTTTTAGCTTTTTTCTCTTCTTTTGCTCTTTCTTTTTCGTTCATCTTCATGGAAGAACAACAATCTCCTTCTTTGACTTTGGAGTAGCAGTTGGTACAATTGCTTGATGCTATGCATTTGCAATTGAACAACCAAACTCAATTGATGGTGGCGTTCACGACACGTGGTACCACTCCTGCTCTTGGTGCCAATCCTCGCGTTCGGCCGGAGTTCTTTCGCGGGAATCCTGGGGATGATGTGTACCATTGGTTTAATCACTTCACAGTGATTGCCACATATCATTCTTGGGACAATGCTCGCCATTTGCGTGAGTTTCCCACGTGTCTCTAAGGGACAGTGTTGTAGTGGTACAATGGTTTGAGTGCAGCCACTCGTGGGGATTGGAGTGTTCTCCCGGACATCTTCAAACGCACCTTCGGACATGCCGATGACTGTGATGATGCCTTCCAACAATTGTATCATCTTCGCCAAAGGCCATCTGAGTCGGTGATGCAATTTGGTGTTCGTTTCCGAAGTCTTTTGCTTCATGCGAAGCCAAATATGTCAGAGTGGATCAAGCTAGAAATGTTGTGGCCAGCACTTTGTCAAGATCTGGTCGGACTTGTCCATGCACTTGCTCCCGCCACCCTTGACGATGCTCTTCACTTGGCACAACATTATGAGACGTCACCTCTTCCACTTCTTGCTGCACGTCTTTCAGCTCCACTTCTTTTGGGTGATGGTTCTGTTCCAATGGAGGTTGATGCTGCTATTGCTTGAGTCCAAGGATAAAGTCGAGGACGTAGTCGTGGTCGTGATGTTTGCTGTTGGGCGTGTGATGAAGTTGGTCATACTTATCAGCGTTGTCGGCGGTTTCCGGATTGGCGACCTCCATTTCCTAGGTGGAGACCTTGGTGTCAGCAACGTCCCGTTGGTGCTGCTGCAATGGATGGTTTGGACACCAAGATACATCTAGGAAACAAGGAGTCGTGCGAGTAACGGAAGGACCTTGCGCGAATAAGTCAGTGACCCCTCCATCTTTCTTTCGGGAGTATCATCAAGGGGTTCACTCGGCACCGGTTCATCCAGTGTTTACTTTCCAATCTCATTTTTATAACAAGAGGTCTCCTATTATTCTCTCCGTGTTGGTTGATACAGGTTTGAGTTTATCTTCTATTGCTCGACCTGTTGCCACACATTGCCGTTTACACTTGCGTCGTGCAGTGGAACCAATTTTCATTCTTTATGGCAACGGCCGTACGCATGCATGTGCACGGGATGAGGTGGACCTGGTTGTGCGTGTGGGCGATCTCGAGCTTGAGTTGCAGTCATTGCGGGTGGTGCCGAGTCAAACTTTTGACCTCATTCTTAGTATAGATTAGTTGCAACGCAATCATACCAAGTGTGATTTTGAGGCTTCTCCCCCTTGTCTCATACTTTCTTATGTTACATCCATTCCTCTCACTTCTGTACCTCTTTGTCCCTCTTCTTCTACCTCTGCTTCCATTACTTTTATTCCCCCACTATTTCCTCCTATATTTCCATCATGTTTTGTTCTTCCCTTTTCCAATCCCTTTGACAATCTTTGTGTTGCAGGGGTGGACCGGCTCATGAAGGAGTATTCTGATCTCTTTGAATTTGACCTATTGTTTGGGGCCAAGATTGCCACACGTCATCCAATTCCAACCGAGGATGCTCGTCCAATCAAGGTTCCCGTTCGTCATCGGTCACCCAAGAAGATCAAGATTTTATGTGCAAATGTCAAAGAGATGTTGGAGAAGGGTGTTATTCGGAAGTCACAGAGTCCTTGGGCATGTGAACCTCATCTTGTGACAAAGCCTGATGGGAGTATTCATTTCTGCATCGACTATCGTCCGTTAAACGAAGTGACGATCCCAGATGTGTACCCTCTTCCTCATATTGCTGATCTCTTGGATCGTCTGGGGCGAAATCGTTGGTTCACCAAGCTAGATCTTGCTTCTGGGTACTGGAAAGTATCGATGGCCAAAGAAAATATTCCTAAGACTGTTTTTCGTACACCATTTAATTTGTACAAGTTCTTGGTGATGCCATTTGGTTTGAACAATGCTCTAGCAATTTTCCAGCGGATGATGGACGAGGTTTTTTGCGATATGTCAGAGGTGACTGCTAACTTCATTGATGATGTCTTGATCCACTCGGAGGGGACATGGGAGTAACATGTTCGTGATTGTGAGACACAAAATCCCTAGGCCCCAAAGTGGAGCCGGAAGGGCGCCACATGGTAGTGGCCGAAGCGAGAGCCAAACGAGCGTAACACGTTTGGACCAAAAGCTCCGACTTGAAAAGTCAAAAGCGGGAGTGGAACTCCCAACGAAGTGCTCGAGGAACGAGCACAAAGCGAGCAAAAGGCGAGGCTCCAAAAAGGGACCCAAAAGGACCAACACATGACACGTGGGAGTGTCCGAGATGGACTCGAGTTGGAGTCCGAAGTGGAGTCCGAGATGGACCCGAGTTGGAGTCCGAAGTGGAGTCCGAGATGGACCCGAGTTGGAGTCCGAAGTGGAGTCCGAGACGGACCCGAGATGGAGTCCGAGATGGAGTCCGAAGTGGAGTCCGAGGTGGACCCGAGATGGACCCGAGTTGGAGTCCGAAGTGGAGTCCGAGATGGACCCGAGATGGAGTCCGAGATGGAGTCCGAGATGGAGTCCGAGGTGGACCCGAGATGGACCCGAAATGGAGTCCGAGATGGAGTCCGAGATGGACCCGAGATGGAGTCCGAG